TATATTCAATTCATATGTAAATCATATCTAATACAACAATCATATATAAATAACTTTAAAACAAGATTTAAATATTCCTAAAGTACATATTTCCATCGTCTCCTCTTCTTACATACAAAAATCCTCTTCTAGTAGCTATTTAATTTAAAAGAGCATTTCCAAAAATAAAAAACTAAACAAGTGGTTAAGTTTTATAACAACTAAATGGAGAATTATTACTCTATAATATAATATTTTTAAAATACAATTTAATATGCTTGCAGGTCAAAATAGAGAAACAATAACTTTTTAATTTAAAAGAAATTTAAACTAGTGGCGATTACATTTCATTCAAAAAATTATCTTAGAAGCACCATCAAGTATTGTTTCATTTAAGGAACATGCATATTTATTTCATTTTTTAAATATTTTTCAATTTATGCATTTAGGTACATTAACATTCTCATCTAGTGTTACAAAAAAGTGACATCTTTGTTAATCATACAAAAATATTTCGTTTTAAAAACACTAAAATTCATAGTAGTTTATGTACATTATTAAAATTCATCAATTCATGATCTTAAAAGGCATTTATCTAAAATTTATTGTAGCATATATAGTCTTAGAACAAGAAGAATAAATGTCCTTTTTCTCATACAATAAAAATTTTAGCATTATGCAATACAAACAAAATATGTCATTTTATTTACTCAAGCATGCATTAGAAACCATAAATTACCATAAACTAGAAAATGTTGTTATCCACTTCAACATTATATGAACAAAGTTTGTTGATCTCTATCTTTTAATTCTTCACTTTAGCTCTTTTAATGGAATACTTGTAACTGTGCACATAAAGCATACTTGTTAATTGTCTTATTTTCTATGTAAATAAATCGTCCTTCTTGAAATAAATCACTAATTTTGATTTATTTCAGAACAATCAAAGTACAACAGTTAATTCTATTTTGTTTTTTAACTTAGATTAAATATAATATTATTAATGTTTTAAATAAGTACCCACCCATGCTTTCATTCCTATATATATCTCCTATAATGATTACATAATCAAATAAATTCTTACCTCTCCAGCTCAAATAGATACACATTTAAACAATCTAATTATTAATTTTGATTAATGTGACTATAAATCTGCTCATAAAAATCCTTGAATGGATTTTTTTTAAATAATTTGTTTAGAAGTAGAAAGAGAACTTAAATTTGGTTAAGGTATATTTTATCCCAGCTCAACGATAATTTCTTAACTTTGAATTCCAAACCCTTGCCTACATTAAAGAAGATCAACATGATATTCGCAAATGTTTCTATTTATATGATTCAACTTGCTGTTGAATCGTGATTGCATGGAATTTATGCTTGACATCCTCACTACAATGCAGAACCATAATGCTTGATATTGTTTCTCAACTCCATCTGCATGTATCATTTATGTTATCATCGCCATTCACCGCTCGCTCTGCACTGTTTCCTACGCACATTGCTCATCTCTCACTTAATTTTCACTTAAATACTCCCTATTTCACTTGGGATTAATCCCACTTTCCCCTCCATTTATTTTATTAGATAAACTAACTAGTGTCACTTTAATTAAAATGGTGCTAGCCAGTTCAATTAATTATTTTTTTAATCATCATTTATAATTTTTCCATCTTATTAATATTTCATCTTTTAAATTTAATGAATACAATAGTAGCAAACATATCTTAATTAAAGACATATGGATAACATTTTTGCGTCTTTTAATTCCTTCTCTCAAATAACATCTATCTTTGCTTCATAGTTTAATAGAAATCATACAAATGAAATATCTTTATTGCAAAGTAATTTTATATCATAATACAGCATTTTCTTATTATTATATATAAGTTAGATTAGCTTGTATATTAAGCGAATCTATACAACTCTATTTATTGGCTATGAATTTTGTGCAAAGATACCATATAGTACCAGTATGTGTGCTAGTAAAGCTAATATGTAAGACTCTTTTTTAATCTTTTCAACAATTTTATATGGTCATTCATATTGTGGCCTTATTATTACTCTTTTTACAAAATGTTACATGCCTTTCATCAGTCGAACTTTGAAAAATACAAACTCACCAAAATAAATTCTACGAGCCAAAAGTTAGCATCATAGTTTTTGCATTGTCAATCCTATCCAGTCTTTAATCTATCTTTGATTTGCAGGATTTTACCAGTAGCATCATTTATTAATTTAGCGTCAATGACATTTCTGTCTCCTATTTTAGCCTAAAGATCAATAGCAAGTGGTGAATTTAATACCAAAAGAACAGGCTAGTGAACTAAGGGATACTCGTCATCATTCTTACTCTTACCTAATTGATTTGCAAGATCAACGTGAATTTCAAGATGATAAATTAACACTACAGCGTAAATGAATAATATAAGTGAATAGTTGATGCTCAAAAATCAGAAAGGTTGGATCGAAAATATCCATCAATTAACTAGAACCTTACTAACACATCCAATGAGCAAAAAAAAATGAAGTTGGTAAACTAAAGAAAAAGAAAATCTAATACAAAAACTTCAAGGAATTCATTATGAGTTTCATTATAAATAATTAGGTAACATGTACTCTTCATGATAAAGAAAGAGAGAATCTAATATAAGAAATAATAGGAATTCATTATAAGTTTCATTATTTGATATGCTAGCTTCAATTTATTATAGGTTTCCTATTTTCGCAGTTTTTAACCCAATAATAAATTTAACATAGTGCTGCTATAGTAAATTTCCTTTATATAAAAATGTTGGATCAAAAATTATCCAAGAATTATACTAGAACCTTACCAACAAATCTAATAAGAAAAAAAGGTGAAGTTGGAAAAATAAAGAAAGAGAATCTATATGAGAACTTCTAGGAATTCATTATGAGTTTCATTATAAATAATTAGGTAACAAGTAATCTCCATGACCACTATTGATAGGTATAAACCAAGAATCGGGTGAAGGCTACATATTGAGTTACATAAATAAGAAAATGCATATCAAAACTTATTTGTTAATTGTTGTCAAATAAATCATGCTAGTAGCCTAATTACATCAGAATCACTATTGATCATTTCATTGAGTATTTTTTTTTTAGTTGTGAAATGTTGATGAGTAGCTCCTAAGCTTAAGTGAGTGTGGCTGTGTTTTGTCAGGTATGTCTAATCATGTGTGAGTATCGCAGAATGATCCTTGACTAGTGTCTACTAAAGTGAGTTCACTATGGCCCTAGCAAGTTCACCACTTTCTAGTGTTTTGGCTTAATTGAGAGATCTTGGAATGGTCAACATCTATGTAGCACCAACACTTCTAAAAATGCATTGTATCGTGTTGGTTAACGAACACCGACACTTCTTTGACACTATAAAATATATGCTGAAGTTTTTTTCAGGCTCGAACACATTCGGGACACACCTCAACACCGCATCGGGAGTGAGTTTAAAACTATTTCAAGAAAATGGGACACGAAAACTAAAAAATTATAAATAAACGTATAGCCTTAATTATACATCATAGTCGAAATCGCTCATCTCTCGTCATGTTGAAATTCCCTCTAACATTCGTCAAAATCGAGCATCGAAGATACATCAAATATTTGGCGAAGCCGAGCATTAGTTATTCCCTCTATGTAATCAAAGAATTTTTTAACTTTTAGTAGATAAGTTTGATGAACTCTTTTGAAATATATTTAATTTAATTTAAAAAACTAATTTTTATAAGCATGAAATTTTATAATATAAATTAAATTTGTGAAGTTAAACTTTATTCTTGCATAATTTGTAATGTGATCTTTTTAATAAATAATAATGAAAAAATATATATTTTTATATTAGTAACTATTTAAATAACAAAAAGTGTTCATGACGTTTCGTGTCCAATTTTTTTCTGATATGTTGTATCCCTATATAGTGACGTGTCGTGCATGTGTCCCCGTGTCTGTGTTCGTGCTTCATAAGTCGGCATAGTAAGTTCTCGGGATATTTTGATGCACATTAATTTCTCTAATTCTCTTATGAGTTTAGAAGATGACTATGAAAAGGATAAAAAATAAGATTTTTTTCTATTAAATAGATTCTCAATATTTCAAATTAAACTTGATCATAATTTTAATTGAATTTATTCTTTAAAAGTTTCATCTTAAATGACCAATTAAATCACTCTTTTATTTTTTTTGTTATGAAATTAAAAGGAATAAGTTATTTTTCATGATTAATTATTATGTTCATCACATTGATTTCTTCCATTTGCGCATGTCACTAATGCACATGTTAAAATGGTGGTCTCTATAAATTGGCTCATCCATGGAACCACCTATCACTTCTATTTAAGTACCTTTTCCAAAGCATTATTTATTCTACATCAAATCCTCCAGGCAAAATAACTTCAAAGCAAATCAACTGAGGCCTAGTTTATCATAGTAACCTTTCCTTATGAATGTTTAACTGCAACAGAATATCAGAAATCTGAAAAATCGCACTCCAAAAACAATATACTGCAAACCGAGAAATACTAAAACTTTCCTTTATTTTTCTGAAACTTGAAGCATTCAAGCAAAATCTTAACATTCAGTTTGGAAGAAAGTAAAAGTGTTCGCTGCATTTGTCTTTACAGTAAGTTTTCTTAAAAAAATCTGGAACTGAAATTTTGTGCAAATTTTAGAACTCAAATCCTTTTTTACAGCATCCTAAAGTGATTGCTTTCAAAATTTGTATGCGCGTGCTTAGATTTTGCAAAACAATCTGAAATCAATTTAACAACAAATTTGGTTCTAAGCTATTCAGATTTCATATAAATTTCGTATTCCTTGTAATTGCTTGCTAGAAACCACTTGAAGAAACTTCAAAACGAATTTGAAAAGGTGCGTAATCAAAAGAAAAGGCAAGAGTTGAAAAAAAAAAACCCAAACATGAAAGAAAAACAAAAAATTCCATCGCTAGTTACGAAGGGCGCCAAGTCTGTACACCACCAGACATTTGAAACGATGAAGCATACCTTGGCGGCTGGCGTTCGGCGTGAGGAGAGGATGGAAGAGAGGCTGCGTCTAGCGTTCGTAGCGTTGCGGAGAGAATGGTCAGATAAATTCGTGGCGAGGGTGCCGATGACGAAAGTGACTACCGCTACTGAAAGGAAGGGTGGGCAATTGCGGGTTTTTGACAAAATTTATTAAAAAAATTGCTTCATTATGGGTGCGTTTAGCGACCTATTTTTTGCACTAGGTCCCTGAATTTTTTCATCATTTGATAAAGGAGTCATGAAGGAGAATTGATAAAATTTTGATAAAATGTGGCCCACAAATTCTGCACTGTAGCCTGTGTTTTATATTTTATTTCATTCAGCTTTTACTGTCCTACCCCCTCTCTCACGACCTAGTTTTTCTCTCGATTTCCGTTGTCCCCTCTCTCGTGATTCTGCTTTAAAGGTAAGATCCTGGCTCGCCTCCTCCTCTCTGATACATGGCTCTGGTGGCAAGGGTTTCTCTGTCTTGGTGGTTACTTTGCTCTCTCTATCCCCTCAGTTCTCTAGCTTTTCTTGGTTTTTTTTCTCTCTCTATCCACGGTATTCTCTACCATTATCTATTCTGATATTTTGATTTTGCAATGGTTTTAGCTTCTCTGAGCTCTATTTGGACGAAAATATTTGGGCAGCTGTGCATTGTTGTTGGATTTTGTTATCTGTGCGATTTTGATTTTTGCAATTCATGTGATTTTGCATTGGTGTTGAATTTTCTTTATTTAGGATGGGGTGATGTCCTTTTCAATGGATTTAATAACGGCATTACTTGCAATGCGCTATTGTTGGTTACTGTATTGATGATTCAGTTGGTTGAGAAAGTAGTGTAGGATTTTGGAGGTTGTTTGATTTTGGTTTTTTGTGATCTTCTTTGTTGGGTGATGTGGTGATGGCTTGTTATGTGAATTTGATGAGAAGATTGCTTTGTATTGTGATGATGGTTTATGCAATTTTGTTAAGAACAATATTGGTGATGTGATTTGGTGGTTACTATGATGATTATTGGTCGTGGTTACTAATGGGTTGGCTAAATTTTGGTGGTGGTTACTGTCACGATGAAGAAGATTCATGGTGGTGGTTTGGCTAACTATTGTTGTTGGTTGGTTGCTGATGTGGTGTGGAGTTGTGGAGTTGTGGAGTTTTGGAGAATGGTTGTGTGTTGTGTAGAGTCGTGGAGCTATTGGTATATATTTGTGTGGTTGTGTGTGGGGTGTGAAAGTGTGCAAGTGTTGGTGTGGTTGTGTGTTGTGTGGAGGTTATGTGGTTGTGTTGGTGTGGAATTGTGCAGTGTGGTTATGGAGTTGTGTGTGTGGAGTTATTTCGAGTTGTGGAGTTGTGTGGTGTGGAGTTGTGGGGTGTGGTTGTGTGTGGTGTGGAGTTGTGGTGTGGTTGTGTGTGGGATGTGGAAGTGTGCAAGCATTGGTGTGGTTGTGTGTTGTATTGAGGTTGTGTGTTTGTGTGGTTGTGTTGGTGTGGAGTGTGGTTGTGGAGTTCTGTGTGTGGATTCGTGTAAAGTTGTGGAGCTGTGTGGTGTGGACTTGTGTGATGTGATTGTGTGTTGTGTGGAGTTATGAAGCTGTTGGTTGTGTGGATGTCTAGTTTTGTGTTGGGTGTGGAGGTGTGCAAGTGTTGTTGTGAGGTTGTGTGGTGTGTGGAGGTTCTGGGTGCCTCGTGAGCACTAGCGATATAACTCTCGTTGAGGAGTTCTGCGGGCGTGAAAATACTCGACTTAAGCATGGACTAATCAAGCTAACATGGAGCTCAGATTGGTACGACATGCACCTAAACATGGTGAGTAAGATCAACCATGTCGAAGAAATCGCTGAAGAGGCGATCTTAAAATGTACCCACAGAAGACTTATGTTGGGGATACCTTAAAGGTTCTGCCAATGCTTGGTGGGGACTTAAACACCTCATTCTGACGTGGTGAACAAACTCAAACCAATCAGAAGAGGCATCAAAAAGGTGTCAGATGCATAGAGCGATCCAACCTCACAACACTTATGCATGATCTCAAGCAAAGTGACCTTCAGTGGGGATTTTAGGTGGTCCCTCTCTAGGAATTGCTTATGACCCTTGTTGGGGATTCCTTTCTGCGGTAATAAAGATACCCGCCTTATGCACGGACTAATCGAGGCTACATAGTGCTCAAATTAGTGCAACATGTACATCGAGATGGTGAGCAAAGTCAACTGAATCGGTCAAAATACCGTAGAGGTATCGAGGAGGGTCGGATGCGTAAATGTCTAACCCCGGGGTGCTTTTAATAAGCCACGGCTAAGCGTAGTTCCCGTTGGTAATTTCCTCCAAAACAAGCAAAGTAGTTTTTGTCGAGGAAAGCATGACAATCCGATCGGGCATTGAGGATCCCGATTAGGCATGGATCAGCTATGAGAGAGCGCTCTGACTGATACAACATGCCTGCTGGCAAAGCAGAAAATTACTCAAATTAGGTGGATTGAGTGGTCCAACCCACATGGGATATCCTGGCCAGGAGTCTATTAAGAGAGACTCTCACTGGGGACTCCTCAAAAAGTGACAGGGTAATTCCTGACATAAAGGTAGCACAAAGTAATCGGACTCAGTGATTAGGAGAACACAATAGCTCATCTCAGAAAAGCATCCCCCAATGAGAATTCCTCAAAGACTAGCTGAGTAGCTCTTATATGAGGAAAACAAAAGCAGTCCAACCTTTAGAAGGGGCTTTGCCAACACATTTGACGATGTGACCCAACTGGGGTTTTTTTATGCGGGTTTGAAAGTACTCCGCTTAGGCACGGATCGGCTATGTAAGTTGAGTGTTGTAGCCAATACGACATGCCTGACATGCCTCTTCTCGATAAAGCTATATGAATTGCTCACACTGTGAGGATGTAGATATGGGGGTTAGACTATGATTATAGTTTACTCGCAAAAATGTCTAGTTATTAAGCTAAACCACTTCCATAGAAGAATCTCAACTGCATTCGTTCAAAGCAAGTGAGATAAACACGTACTTTACATTCATAAAGATGAACGAAATCAACCATACTCGTGACGAGCAGGAGTAGTAGTCTTCGGACCCTGCATAGAGCGGATCGACGAAAGACAAAGTAAGAGAAATGCAGGACTTCTCTTATAGAGATTGGTGGCTGCACCAGGTATAAGACGCCCGTAGGACTTCCACTTTGCCCGAAATGCGAGCCGACAATCAAAGTAAGAGAAACACGAGGTTTCTTTTACCTAAAACTGTTGTGAACTTTAAGTGATCCTTGACATATGCAAGGTAATCATCATAATTAGTTCACATAATGAAGAGATTACGAAAATGCATATTCTTTATCGCTCTGAAATGGATTACGAAGTGCATGTGCTTCAAAATACATTTTCCTCATAAAGTACAATGAGTACATGAAAAAGAGAATAAGCCAAATATCTCTTCAAGTATCGCCCATTGATAAGGGTGTTGGATAATATCCATTTGCAACAATTAGCAATGAAAGGTAGCTTAATTTTCAGATGAAGGGCTACCAGACCCTAAGGGTCAACACGTAGAGCGGAAAGGTAGTGGGTGAAGAGCCCACGAGACGACAAGCCTTTCTTTCAAAGGAAGGGACGCCGAACCCATAGGGTCACAAGTGGGTGAAAAGTCCACGTACAAAAAGGCAAGTCAACTTCTGAGGAAGGACCGCCAGACCCTGCATGAAGTGTGAAAGGTAGTAGGTGAAGAGCCCACAAAGCTTCTAGGAGCCTTTCTTGTCATTCATAATTTTTTTATCGGCATTCAGATTTTTTTTATAGAGCATATCAAAATCTCTTTTTTTTATCCCGGGTTGAGACGCTATCGGGAATGATTTGGCATGACATGCCAAATTGATCTGGTATGGAGAGCTCTCATGTAGGCTTCCTAGAATGACCAGAGATACCATGCAAAATATGAGATTTCGCAAAATTCAGGTCCAAGTGGGATTTTTCTTAAGTACTTTTCCCTAGCCATGTCCTTTAATTCTTTTCACCCTTAGCCTAAGTAGGCCTCGTCATTCGTATCTGGGTGTCAAGGAAATGTTTTCATTTTGGAGATGTTTTTAAATCCATTACTGATTTATCGACCATCCCAATGTCACTTAAACAATTCTCTGAACATAACATCCTAAGGATCTTATCAGGAGAATTTTGAGATCA